ACAATTAGCGTTCTAATTAGGACTGGGAAAATTACTATCTTCTTTAATTGCACAAAAATAAATAAATGCATTGATTAACATTACTCCCTCAAATGTTGTACCACCACAACCAGGGGAGTCTGTACAGTGTCCCGTTTGAGCGTAAGATGACTCGCTGTCTCCCTTTTCTCTTGTGGAGATCTCAGTCATCTATGCTTTCTTTCCCCATGATACGTGATGTTCAATGCAGACCAAGTGCCAAAAGTGCAGCTGATGCGTGTGGACTGGATATCCACTCTGTCATACAGATATTTTTGGAAATGCATGCATAAAAAAATATAATTTATTTTCCTTTTTAACTTAATGTTAAAACACACACACTCATGTGAAATGTAAAGGAAACAAGACATCTGTAAACAAAGACCGTTAGAAGTATAGATGTTGCGTTCCTAAATTCTGAAATCACAGAATTGCAGTAAGAATGTATAAGTCCATTAGACCCGAGTTCCTGAATTATTATTTTTTTATTCAACAAGCGCTCGTGCATCAAATTGGAAATGTACAGTATTTCTGCATGAAGTTTACATGCACTCCTACTGGATAAGGCCCAATCCCAATACACTTGTATGCCTCCACCTACCTCTAAGCCCTACCCCATACGCTGGGCATACACTTACGTCATCCGCTATGGCTAGGTCTTGTCCTCTGTGAAACTTGGAGACCAGGTCCTTCATATGGAATTTTTGAAATTTTTTTTACAGATGATGGAGCAATCAAACACTTTCCGTTTTGTATACAGCTCAGAGCCAGTGAAACAGGACAGAACAGAATTGCTGCTGTGAGCTGTTCCGCTCCTCCCGGCGGCTACACAACCCCTGCTGCTGCGTCCTTCTTCACCGTGGAGGATGTCCGAGCGGAACTAAAGAAGTCTACTGGGTCTGATGGGATAACGCCAAGGCTCCTGGAGGAATGTGCAGCGCAGTTAGCTGAGCCTCTCCATACCATCTTTAACAAGAGTCCTCAGACTGGATGTGTCCCTGCCCGCTGGAAAACCTCCTGCCTGGTACAACAGGTACCCAAGGTAGCGAGGCCGACAGGATGCAAGGACTACAGACCAGTGGCACTAACATCTGTCATAACGAAGACTTCTAAGGGGATAGTACTCCGACTGCTCATGCCACAGGTTGAGTAAGCTCTTGACGCCCTGCAGTTGGGTTTTCAGAAGAAAATGGGAGTGGAGGACGTGGTCCGTTACATGCTCCATCGATCCTTCCTGGATGGCCCTGGAGGTTATGCAAGGCTGATGTTCTTTGACTTCTCCAGTGCATTAAACACCATCCAACCTCTCTTACTGAGGGAGCAACTGGAGAAGATCTGAGTTGATCCTGTCTTTATCAACTGGATTTACAATTACCTCACTGTGAGGTCAAAGTATGTCCGGTTAAGGAAGAGCGTGTTTGGGACTGTTGTGTGAAATACGGGAGCACCACAGGGTACCGTTCTGGCTGAGGGCTCTAATGCAGGGCTTCCTGGGTAACTCCTGTCACCCTCTGCATGGCACTATGGCCGCTCAGAGGAGTAATCAAAGCAACAGGCTCCTAACACTGCGCTGCCAAACGGAACGTTTCAAGAGATCCTTTGTTCCTTTGGCTGTCAGACTGTACAACAAACCTGGATGAGTCTTCTGCTGCTGGACACCTGTATTTCTACGGGGATTGATAGTATCTATCTATCTATCTAACAGGGGCATGGGTGTAATCATGACCACAGGGAATATGCTGTTTTTCGGTGTATACTAGAACCGCATCTACATGCGTTGCCGGAGAAATTGCGGCCGCTTTGTAGTGAATGACAGCAAATCCACATAGATAGATACTTTATTGATCTCCCGGAGGAGAAAATCAGGTCTCCAGCAGCAGTGCCTGGGTTCTTGTTTGCCTGTGTGTGTCAGATCAACCCCCACATTTCAGATCTCCAACAAGTACGACAATGACAAGAATATTCTAGATTACAAAGAAAATTCAATTCATGAGGATTTATATTGATCTTAAAACTGATGATTGGTAATTTAATGCACTGTTGATATTCAGGCTCAGCACAACATGACCTCTGCCTCTGTTTTACTAAATGCAGAGACAAGGACACTAGTCCACTTAGCCCCTCGTAGTGAAAATAGAGAAATAAATGCAGGGGTGGACTGGCTATAGGTGCAATCCTAAGTAGCACAAAACGGCCGATTTTCACAATGCCGTGGATAGTGTGCAGCCGTAGTGTGGCCAAAATGTGACCAGCACACGACAGGACCATTACATCGGCAGCTTGCTAGACGTTTTTGTGCAGCCTGTACGCGCAACAAATAAGCCGCTGTATGAAGCAGACCTGAATTACGGGAGTTTACACCAGGTGTACCTAAATATACTTACATACTCATACTTTTAAGAAAAGGCCCTGTGGGTACCCAACTATTTTTTTTTACATTTACTGTTTAAAGTTAAGAATACCTCCACTAAACATTTCTTCAGAAAAGGCCAAATATCAACACAAAATACAATACAAAACAAGTAACAAGATATGGCATCTTCTGACCATTATTTATATTGTTACGTTATGGCCTAATGAGTGTGAACAACAAATAATATTTAAAAAGGACAGCCTTTGAAGCTAATTTCTGTATCCCTTCATATGGCAACCAATAGTGCCTATTATAAATCTTTTATAGAGCAGCAGTGCTGGATGTCTGCACATTTGCATGCTCATATTTAAATCTATTTGTCCATTAAATGCTATGGCCAGTTCACTGATTTCCCCATTATTTACGGTTGATTACACAAAGTGCTTGCATTTGGACCAAGGGGAAGTGAAGGGCAGTTGGACACACTGAGGAGCTCACATCCAGAATGGCACTCAGTCATTCATACAGATACATCCCCTATCACATGATTAATGCAACCTCATTGCAGGATAAATTTGAAGTTTCGGCCATAGCACAGTCCGTCCTTAGTTAAAATAATATGGCATTTCTTACAGTATGTTCTGTCGTGTAAAGGTCTGTCATTGTTCTTCACCCTATGCATTATCACCCAGCAAACGCATCGGGCTTGACATATTTTCCTCTGGAGAAGCCCTCTGCGCTGGGAGCAGTGGGCGGCTGTGGCTGTGAGGGTCTGACTCCTGGACCTGGTGGAGGCCTGGGGCATTGGCTTCATGTCTCTTCTGGGTCCTGTGTCGTCCCCTGTGGCTGCAGGTGGCTCTCTGCTCCTGGTGCAGACGGCTCCTTGGATGATGTGTGAGAGTGTGTGTGAAAGCATGTGTATGCGTTGGCTTGCGCTTGTGTGCGTTCTTAATATGTGTGGTTTGGGGTGGGTCTGTTGGGTGGTAGGGTTAACGGGTCATGGGCATCCGGGATTGTTTTTAACCACTTTGTGTTGTGAGGCACTTTGTGTTGCATCTTCTGTATGAAAAGCAAAAATTTGATAGATTGATATGAATAAACAATCCTTTGTCATGTTTGTACAATGATACAAATTTTATAAAATAGAAATCTAATTTTGAATTAAGAGAATTTGATAGAGACCATTTCTTCATCGATCAGCTTAAACGTTTGACAATAGAATACCAGCAGCACAAGTAAAAATTCTTCATAGCCTCATAAAAAAAATATACGTATCCCGATTGATCTTATAATAGAGATGTCACAAAAGTGGCGCCACCAGCATGTGAAAGCCAGATCCCGTCAGACCTCTGGAGCAAAGCAGTTGATACTGTGATAGAAGATTTCTGGGAACACGAGGTGCCACAGTGGGGTGGCTACATTGCCAAGTATGAGTATGATATTTGGAGCTAGCACTGCGGTGTGGTACAACACAATATACCAACTGATGTTATTCTAAAAACATATTTGTTTTGAATTAGAATTGTTCATATGTTTTGTTCTATTATACATCTGTATTTATGTATATGTTCTTATATAAAAAAGATACAATTAAAACCTCTATCCATACAGTCATATCAGCAAAGGTATGGTGAAAGTAGAAGAGCAGTTCGCGCTGCTTCTTTTCCTTTTTTCTTTCTTCTAAAAAAGGCTACAAATTTTTTGGTCTGATTTGGTGTTTTCTGTCACAGCGCCACTCTCAGGCCTGTTATGTACTGTACATTCCATTACTTATCTCATGCAACGGAATGTATCCAATCCGCGTAGATGGATACATTTAGAGGCCATTTACACAACAACGCAAATCGGTGCAAAACCATTTTTTTTAAGGACAATCTTAGTTTCCATAGAAACACCAATTTTGGGTGACAAAAATCTGAAAATACATCCAAGATGTATTTGTGTATGTTTCTGTGGCATTCTGAACGTCTTGCTATGGTTGCGTCTGCATGCTTAACTTTTGTTTTGCCACAAAATATATAGTTTTGATATAATGAATATTGTACATTATGTTTTTTTACATTTATTTGACAAGGACATTGTTCAGAATGGAAAAAGCTACTAGATAATTTTCATCCGTAGTCCTTGGGTAGAGGCAAAGTGATAGAATGTTTACAGTGTGAAAATAATTGATGAAAAAATGGCCTAATTAGCATTTAAAATACAGGTAAAATGTTGACCACATAATTATCTAGAAATAATTAAATAACATATAAATAGTGCTAGTAATATACTATATATACTAAGCCCACTATGTGGCTATGAAGTTAATTTACAAAAAATAAAACAAAGAAATGCAACAAAAGAATGCATATATGCAGCTTCCTTTGCCGAACTTTCAGTTAAAACAGGAACACTTCAGAGCAAACTTTAGAGAGTAAGAGAAAATATAATTATGCAGGGTTTTAAACTTCCAGTTTGTGCTTTACTTGTGCGTTACTGTATGACACAGCATTAGCATATATGGTATGTTTCTATCATGTGTGTGATTGCTGAATTCTCATGATATGACGTCACAAAAACATAACTAAGTTCTAGACAATATTTTTTGACCTTGCTGACGATTGATCTCATTCTTTGCTTTTTTCAGTTTGCTCCCAGTTTTCCAGAGGAGTTTATGCCATCTTCGGCTTCTACGACCGAAAGTCTATGAACACCCTGACCTCTTTCTGCGGGGCACTCCACACTTCCTTCATCACACCCAGCTTCCCCATTGACACAGATGTCCAGTTTGTGATCCAGATGAGGCCTAGTCTGAAAGGTGCTGTTCTCAGCCTGCTGGACCACTACAAATGGGAGAAGTTTGTGTATCTGTATGACACGGACAGAGGTAAGCATAGTTAAGGACATGACTATTTCTCAAACTTAAAAAAGAAATTTTATACAAATAGCATGCATTTACACCCCAATGGCTTTGAACAAGATGCTTTCACTGCAGAATGTCGGATTAAATTTTCGGGGATTTACAATCCAATTGAAGGTTCAAGGAATTATGAAGCTCTTCGCGAAAATTCACTGTGGTAGACCCGGCCGCTGCTACAAGCCTGCTCATCCTCGACTCATCATACCAGCAACGCCCACATCTAATCAACCAATAACCACCAGGACAGCAAGTTAAAAGCCGGAGACACCCACTTCCCAGCCTTCTGAAGTCCGCAAGCTTCTGAAGTCTGCAAGCTTCTGAAGTCTGCAAGCTTCTGAAGTCTGCAAGGTGCATGTCGCTAACGCACCTGTTCGCAAATGCATGCGTTGTTCTGGAGGGGTCGCTTCTGCTCACGTGTTGCTCGTGCGCGTGGCCCGGCTGTCCTCAGTCTGGCTGCTCGTGGTCTGCTCCTCCTCCGCGTCCCTGCACCTGCTGTGGTTTGCGTGTCTCCACTGCTCTCCTCCTCTGCGGGCTCTTCTGCGGGCTGCTCCGCGGGGCCCCTCCGCGGGTTTGTGCTGCTCGTGGTCTGCTGCCGCGCGCAGACGGTCTGGCGGTGCCGTGCGTGTCCCTGCCTCGATTGGCGGTGCCGCGTTGTCCCGTTGCTTTTCCCAAGTCTCCTGGCATGTGAGTACAGTGAGTGTGCTGACCGCGGACGGATTAATCCCGGAGTCTAGGCTGCAGGCAGCTGGTTTTTGCCCTGCGCACTTGACTGCAGGCGCCCCGTGCTTGGTCTGCAGGCTCCGTTTTCACACGTGTTTGAGCTAACTGAGGGGCAATGCATCTTAAATGGCATCAATCTCTATTGTCTGAGGGATATAAGAGGAGCAATGTGCATTAATTCAGATTCATGTTCTGCCACTTGCAGTAAAACCACGTTGGAAGAAATGTGCAAAGACTACCCCATTGTGCTCCAGACGGCACACACCAGAGCTCTTGCCACGGCGCCATCTTTACAGCATTAATCTCATTACTCGCAGGTCACTATTGTTAAATGAATGCATTTAAATTCGTCTATCTGCAGGAGGAAGGAGGGGCCATGCATTTAAATAGCTAGGTCACTAGTATTAAATTGGGTAACTAAACTGCAGTTGTTGCATTTTGAAAGTGCAGCAGAAAGAAAAGGGCCCAATGTGAATCTGCAATGGGTTTGAAGTGGAGTTGGAGCTAAGGAACGCATGGAAAAGTGATCGTTCATGCGTATCTGCCATAACCAAAGCAGCAAGATGGCTCCAGGGGACATCTGTTATTCGCATGGGAATGTTTCGGATTCGGGTTGATTTATTTCCTCAGGCTGTTAAAAAACCATGGGCATGGTTCTCTGACCGCCGCTGCTGCGGTCCCTGCTGCCGTTCCTACTGATGCCTGATCCCGCTGCTGCCTGTTCCCGCTGCTGCCTGTTCCTGCTGCTCCTGCTACTACATGTGCCGTTGCTGCTGTTCCTGCCGCTGCCGCTCCGCAGGCTCCCGGGCTGCACCTGTCTCTACGGCTCGGCTCTTTCAGACACGTATGTAACCTGGCTCACGGAGACAAGCGGCGCACGCTGGCGTGTCACGTCTGTTGTTCGTATGAATCGCATTGTGGTGCTACTGCTCCTGCTAATGCTGCTTCTGCTGCGTCATACTGCTACCGCTACTGCTGCTACTGCTGCCGCTGCTGCTGCTACTGCTGCCGCTACTGCTGCTACTGCTGCCGCTACTGCTGCCGCTGCTGCTTCATACTGCTACTGCTGCCGCTGCTGCTTCATACTGCTACTGCTGCTTCATTTACTTTGACACCTCTCTTCACTTCGCATCCTTCTACTGAAACACTAAACAGCTTCAACAATATTTTACTGCTGTGGCTTTGATACAGGATTATTGCTGTTATTATCTACGGATGCTGCAACTGCTGCTGCTGCTGCTGCTTCATACTGCTACTGCTGCTACTGCTGCTGCTTCATAGTGCTACTGCTGCTACTGCTTGCTGCTTCATACTGCTACTGCTGCTGCTGCTTCGTTACTTTGCCATCTCTCTTCACTTGCATCTCTTTTACTGAAACACTGAACAGCTAAAACAACATTCTACTGCTGTGGCTTTGATACAGGATTATTGCTGTTATTATCTACAGATGCTGCAGCTGCTGCTACCCACTCTCTCAGAAGCTTATCCTGCTTCTAATGGACGCAGCCCGGCTGAGTATGCCGCGCTGCGCTGGACTCGCACCTATGCTCCCAGGGTCGCTTCGGCGGTCGTGCTTCATCTCTATACTTAATCTTCTGATTCTATCAGATGCAGCTGGCCGAGTTGCTGCGCTGAGCCGTCAATCGGACTCCTAATCAAAGGCATCCATACCTGTATTCTTCACTCTTCTGATCGCAGGCTCCCCATCACGCTGCCCATCCTGCAGCGGCACTGAACTCCGGCTCATCTTCCAAGTATGTGTCTTCCCTCCTCGCAGCATCTTCCTACTCTCCTTCTATGGCTTCTCTGCATAAGCGTTTCACTACTGCTCACTCAACCTTCATGCGGTCCGAGACACGGCTTTCCCGACCATCCTACTATCCTGATTATCTACTCTCCAACCCAAGATTCTAAGCGTAAGGGCGCCTGCAAACATCAATGGCCCTCTCCGATGTGTATCTGCCCCTACAGGTCTCCGCTTCTACACGGACGCTGCCCCTTCCGTGGGTTTTGGGGGGTTCTTCCAGGACCATTGGTTTGCCGGGCCGTGGCCGCTACTTTCCACCGGAGCATCTCCTCTGCCTACACAAAATATTCCCAGTGATCGTGGCCTGCGCGCTGTGGAATCACACGTGGCAGAGAAAGAGGATCTCTGTCATGTGTGATAATCTCGACGTAGTGGAAGCATTACACAAAGGTCGCTCTTTTTCACCCAACATAATGTCCCCAGACCATTTCAACCTTCATCTCAAACATTCAAAAAAAAAATCAAAGGAGCCTGCAACACAGTAACAGCTCGCTCGAACACATCTCTCTGCCCCTACAGGTCCATGATGCGTTACACTCGCCTCCGCTGCAAAAAGGAGATTTTAATGGACCTCTCTTTCTCACTCCAGACATTCTTCCCATGACAGCAACCTGGTTCAGAGCTCAACTAAGATCCCTACTGCTCCTCTGTAAATTATCTCCCCAGCTCTACACAGCTCACTCATTCAGAATAGGCGCTGCCACGCGCGCGGCCTCGCTGGGGCTCCCCCACACCTCTCTGCAACAGCTGGGGCGCTGGTCCTCTTCGGCCTTCTCCGCCTACATCAGGCCAGACGCGTCCGCCATCCTGGCTGCTCAACGGCTACTGGCTTCCTCGTAAGCTCCCAGCAAAGCAATACAAAGCAAAGTAAGTGAACCTATAAGATTCTGGTGGCGGCACGCACTTTAAAGAAACTCTGCTGCAGCGTCTGGTTTCGATCGTGATGCGAGCGCTCACGTCCCAGGCAGCGTCCGGTTGATCGCGATGCGAGCGCTCACGTCCCGGCGCTTAAAGATAACTCTGCTTCAACGTCTGGTATCGATCGTGATGCGAGCGCTCACGTCCCAGGCAGCGTCCGGTTGATCGTGATACGAGCACTCACGTCCCTGCGCTTAAAGGCAACTCTGCCGCAACGTCTGGTATCGATCGTGATGCAAGCGCTCACGTCCCAGGCAGCGTCCGGTTGATCGTGATGCGAGCTCACGTCCCGGCGCTTAAAGGCAAACCTGCTTCAACGTTTGGTATCGATCGTGATGCGAGCGCTCACGTCCCAGGCAGCGTCCGGTTGATCGTGATGCGAGCTCACGTCCCGGCGCTTAAAGGCAAACTCTGCTTCAACGTCTGGTATCGATCGTGATGCAAGCGCTCACGTCCCAGTCAGCGTCCGGTTGATCGTGATGCGAGCTCACGTCCCGGCGCTTAAAGGCAAACCTGCTTCAACGTCTGGTATCGATCGTGATGCGAGCGCTCACGTCCCAGTCAGCGTCCGGTTGATCGTGATGCGAGCTCACGTCCCGGCGCTTAAAGGCAAACCTGCTTCAACGTCTGGTATCGATCGTGATGCAAGCGCTCACGTCCCAGGCAGCGTCCGGTTGATCGTGATGCGAGCTCACGTCCCGGCGCTTAAAGGCAACTCTGCTTCAACGTCTGGTATCGATCGTGATGCAAGCGCTCACGTCCCAGGCAGCGTCCGGTTGATCGTGATGCGAGCGCTCACGTCCCGGCGCTTAAAGGCAAACCTGCCGCAACGTCTGGTATCGATCGTGATGCGAGCGCTCACGTCCCAGGCAGCGTCCGGTTGATTTTGATGCGAGCGCTCACGTCCCGGCACGCAAAGATAACTCTGCCCGTTTTTGGGGATTATGCGGGCGAGCAAGCGCCGCGCTCAACAGAATCTCTCCCGGGCCTGGGGCGCCAAACATACTCAATCAACAAACTTCTAACTGCATTTTCCCTCTTGGGTCTCTCCAAAGTGAAATGAAGCTCTTCGCGAAAATTCACTGTGGTAGACCCGGCCGCTGCTACAAGCCTGCTCATCCTCGACTCATCATACCAGCAACGCCCACATCTAATCAACCAATAACCACCAGGACAGCAAGTTAAAAGCCGGAGACACCCACTTCCCAGCCTTCTGAAGTCCGCAAGCCTCCGCCGCCCCACCTCCTCCGTTTCTCATCGAAGCGTGCTTGCCTACTGCCTCTGCCGCCACCAGTGCCTTGGCCCCGGGGGGGGAGTATGCGGGCGAGCAAGCGCCGCGCTCAACAGAATCTCTCCCGGGCCTGGGGCGCCAAACATACTCAATCAACAAACTTCTAACTGCATTTTCCCTCTTGGGTCTCTCCAAAGTGAAATGACTGTATTAGGACATACTGACAAAAAAAGTTTAAATTTAAACTTTTAGATCTTTGGTTGCGAGTCCTTCTTAATTCGTAATTCTTGG